AAAGCAGCGGAGATACGATCAGTTCTGAAACCCAGCCCACAGGCCAAACTGACAAATTTAATAACTGTTGCTCAATTTCTTTTTTCACGTTTTGGTCGTTCTCTTTCTGCATCTCCACTCTTTCTTTCACACACTCCTCCAGGCCAGTTATCTGCACTCTGACAGACGCACACTCCCGAAACAAACCCACACGACTGTTACCGGAACACAATGAACACACCATTATGAACCATCATGAAGCAGAGCTCTCACGTCTTTGAAAAGCTCACACAGACACACAGACACTTGAAGCGTTAGGGACACTTATTGGGGTAATAAATTAACCCTTAATTAACTATCGCACCTAAATATTTAACCTTACCTGATCTTATCTGACCTGTGTAGAAGAACCTAAGAACCAATGCAGCCTTCAAGGAATGTAAAAATGAGTCCCTCTCAGGACATTGTGGAGTGAAGGACTTGAAGCTTGGTCTGAAATTGCAATTCATAGTCGTTTCTCTCTGTCTTTTGATGATCAGGAAGGGATGGAGGCAGAGTTACGGACGTGGCGGAGTCATTTTAGCCTCCTTACATTACCAGGATCTTGAGGACTCACACTAACCTGTGTGATTTAAATGTTTACTTTACATCTTCAAACTGATTAAAAAAAAAGGTTTCTTATCAACAATGTTCATCAAAATTAAAAAAATTAAAAAAAAGGGCAACTTTGTTCATCTGTATATCAAAGATGAGATAAGTGTCATTTGCTTTGCTTTTAAAACCTACAATACAAATTAGGATTCAAAATCAGTTTGAACTTATCAGTCAGTTTGACACTGAAAACACACAGACATGTCAAACTCTCATTTAAGTGTCTGCATGTGGTTTTTGAGCGTTGCTGGTCAGTGAACCTTGAAGAGCATGCAGGTGTTTCCCTCCTGCACCACTGCTGTACGTGGACTAACCCATGCGGGCCAGTTTCAGAACCCAGCATTAGCCCAAGACTGAATTTAGTCACCAGATTTTTGCAGCTGTCCTCTGTGTTGATGGTGACAATAACATTTTGAAAAAGAAAAAAAGGTGCTTTTTATTTCTAATGTTAAACTGCCAGATCCAATATTTCTACGTGGACATGTGTGTGTGTTGCATATGATTTACGGTGAGCAAGAAACAAGATAAAACTCCAGAGGACGGAGGTAAAATGAGAAAAACGTAACGAGTGGAGGAGGAGGGGAGTGTAAATAGATCCTGCTCAGCTTCTTTGTAACATCAGGTGATGTACAATCGTTTACAACCAGTCTCACGAGATGAATTCGACATCAAACAATTTTTTTTGGACGAGGGGTTAACTCCAGATGAAGAGATTAGACCTAAGGCAATATAATTTTACTGTTTAAACTGAAAGAAATATAAACTGTCGGCAACATTGTGCAACTTGACTCCAGTGGACACAAACAACATCTGTACTGGAGTTTGCGTACGAGTTTGGACAGATTATAATCTAATATGCTTGTTTTTAGCTCTGATGGCTTCACAGAACTGAGCCTGTTTTACACACAGACTGAATTACTTTGACCTCCAGAATTATCTTTTGTGATTGGTAAACATTTTATATAAATCTGGAATTTTACATTTTAAATTCACAATATAATTATGAATAATAAAAAAAAGGTTTTGTAATCTCATGTTTTATATTACAGAGGAATCTTTGATCTTGAGCTAACTGTCTTCCAAGCCCCAGAAAGAGGAAGTTAATCACAATGAAATGACTGGAAAGACAACTGCCTGGTGCCTTTCTGAAAACATGGGCTGTAAAACATTAATCTTTAACGGTTATGGCCGCATATTTTTATAGTCAACACACATCACGTATAAATGTGTGAACCATGGTCTATAGGAGAAATTATAAGCATATACACATATATATATATTTATCTAGAGGCAATGACAATGAACTTGAACTGCTTGAACAGAACACTTAAAATGAAAAGGAAGTTTGATTTTGAGTGTTTTTATAACTCAACTCCATGTGAAGATCTTCTGCCCTCTAATTTGATCAGAGCATTTGTTTTCCATTTGTTGTGGTTTGTTTTTATCAGGCGGTGCTTCTCTGTTCACTGACACAGACATTATATACAGATATTAACTGGACAGAGCGTTTATTCTTATGGCAGTTTTGGCAGATGTGCCACTGCTCGGTCTCCTGAAGTGTTTCTAACTATAGTCCTCTCTCATTGGCCATAAGTACATAGGTTTATATGCAAATTATTAATCTAAATCTGAAGAAAGATCTATGCCATTTATACAAATTAAGGTTGACAAAACATGAGGAACACTTTGCATAGTATAATTCATAGGACACCTGCACTATAATTTGCCATGTTTGCCAAGTTTAAATTAAAACGTCATACATTAAAACCTGTCAAACAGATGCATTAAAAACAGAACTGTTGTATTATACTGCATTACTAAGTGAACGTGATAATAAAAACAACCGAGGGAATGTGCACAGCCTGAACTGAAGGCAAGTTAATCGATCACTCTATTGTTGATTTCCAGACATCTGACATTGCTCTGCATTGGAGGAGACCATGTCTTTGGTTAGTGACGATTCTGAGGATTGTTTCCTGACATGCCCGGCAAGTTTGGGGCTTCACCCTCGGTCATGGGTGCATGTTAGCTGTGACGCGCATAAGACATGTTCCAATACCATGTTTCCCTGCCCGATACTAATCCAGTTGCTTGGAGAAGTGAGGATCCTCAAGTTAAACCCTTTGAAACAAAAATGCATACAGAGCATGTTGAGAACTTGTTGACCATCCTCACACATAACTGTATATGCCACTGTATACATGCATATTGTATATTACATTATATCTGTTCAGGAGAATAGTGCCTGGCTAATTCCACACAGGCGTCAAGAAGAACATTAATCTTTGTAAAGTAAGAAAACAAAACATTTTACCCTCAATCATAGTTAAACTTTCTTGTTTCTGAGTCGATCTCTGTTGGATTATTCTGGCCTCTCCATGGTATCAGTTTTGACCAGGTCGTGAACCTCAATCAGCACATTGACATTGACTCACTTCTTATTTTCCAGTAACTAAAACCTGTTGTCTCTTATTAAGATCTTCTGATTGTGTAGCACGCACACACAAGCTGGATTAATTCTCCATTCACATTCCTAAACAGGTCAGTGTGGGCTCCTACAGCCAGATAGATTAGCTGCAGGGCTCATAGCTCTCCCCTGTTGGCTCCTCTCCAGTGGTGAACTCATAAATTCACAAGTAGTTTTAAAAAGGTGTCGATTATGAACAATGCTTCCTGAACAAGCCCCGACTTATATTGGCAAGTTCACCTATTTGCCTTTCAAGCAGGAGTGTCTTGAGTTTCCATGTGGCACTGTGGTAACACATTAGCCACCTTGGACAAATATTTCAAAAGGCTCTGTAATTATTTGTCTTCATGCGCTTTATGTTTTACCTAAAGGCTCATTTGTGATATGCTTGAACTGTTTTCTGTGTGTGAAGCATATCTTGCACATTCACTCACAGCAACCTACACTATTTCATAGCCGTGTGTATGTATGTGTATTGTAAGTACAGAGGTAGGGTGAGGACACTGTTAGCTCAGAAACAGCAAACAGCGAACTTGGCTCTATCAGAGAGGGAGAGATTTGCAGATCAACACTAACTACTTAACATGTTGTATCATGTGGGTTTAATTCCCCTGTGCACACAGTGAAACAATTTAAAAAGGTGCAGTATAGGTTTTGGGTTAGGTTTATCTGTTTTTTTCCCCCCAGGTTTTGATAAACAAAGGCTCAATATGAACATTGTGTTAAACAAAGGTCATGAATAATGAACTCATATGCAGACGGAGACCCAGTGGGGCACTGGCCCCCGCCCGCTTACTAAGCTGGTTTGCCCCTGAAGTGCCCCGGACCTGTCAGTAGGCATCAAAAATAAGGAAAAAACAGTCACTTACAAACAATTTTGGTGACTGAGGGGGTAGAGTGTTTGTCCTCCAACCAGAAGGTCAGTAGCTTGAATCCCAGCTCATGCCAAAACATCCTTGGGCAAGATGCTAAACCCCAAAATACAGGCAATAAATTCAAATTTTCTGTGGCTTTTTCAATTAAAGAATATGCTTGAATGAAGAGACGCTCAAATTACATTTTGTGATGTGTGGCTTTACTCAAAGCTCTAGAGTTAACAGTAAACAAGGAATGAGTTGAATGTGCACTTTACTGAATCAGGAACTGTGAATAGATGTTGGACATATAATTGGCTCCTCTTTGTTAATTCTGGTCTCTGATTTAGAAAAATTCAGAGATCCAGCTCTGATTTCTTGCTTCCCCATGGTTCCCATCTTTATGCTAACCAGGCTAACCATGTCTTGACTCCAGCTCGACACATCAACCTAATTTGGTATCATGTTTCTGATCTTACTTAATGTTACATAGGAATGCAATCATGTTCCCCGAGACCTGTATAAAGAGCTTGACTGGTGGAGTCTCTTGTAAAGTGACGAAATCAAATCAATTCTTGATTCTTATTCATTTATAAATGTTATTTTGTTTGCAACCATGAACCACTGTTTAACTTAAAGGTTCAGTGTGTAGAATTTAGTGACATCTAGTGGTGAAGTTGCATGTTGCAGCTGATTACCCCCTCACCTCACCCTGCCATTCCAAACATGTAAGAAAACCTGTGGTAGACTTCTGCTGTCATGAAAACTCAAAAGCTGTTTAGTTTGTCCAGTTTGGGCTACTGTAAAGAACATTACCATAATGCTCCATCATCTTCAGCAGTGTTTCATTTTGCCGTCCCGGGGGTCCGACGCATTACTCTTTTAAAAAGGTTATATCTCTCATACTTATGATTCAACTTAAATAGCACCAGCAGTGAAACTAAATACATCAGGGAGATTTATGGTTGAAGAAACTGTGACATCCCAGGGGACTGTTAGCCAGTTGTTATAAAGCACGTCACTCAACCCGCCACTTTGATTTTCTTCAGTTTGACTATAGCGTATTAGCAAGATAAGCAGAATGCACTGGGAGAAATGTAAGTACATCACATCATTTGTTGTTTACATGAGTTACACGAACCGTAATGTTGATTGTCATTGATATAACGTTTACTGATGTACAGTCTATGATTTGGGTGATTAAACCTAGTTTGACTTAAGTGAAGGAGGTAAAAAAAAGTCTTAAAAATGTTTTCAGCAAGATGTTTCACCGAAACCTATGTACAGTGTGTTGAATTCAGTTTTTCACGTTGAGGTTTACATTTACTTACTTGATTCTTGCTGTTCTGGGTTTGTACCCTCATGGTTGAATGCACTTATTGGAAGTCGCTTCAGATAAAAGCGTCATGTCATTTTGAGAAGGTAATTTAATTTAATTTCTGCAGTTTTCGGTGGATAATGAGCGAGTTGATTACTAAAGGTGATGAGTGGTTGCTGGGATGAAAACATTTGATTTTGCTGAACTTAATTCATTTCCATAGTTGTAACTTTATTAGTTGAAACTTCATTTACCACTATTTTTTTGCTTATCAGACAGATGTGGTAAAGCCATAACCATTACACAGGTTGTGGTTCTCCCACCATAACCTACCTAACTGAATGATCGGGGGATTTTTGGAACACTAACGATAATCCTTCCTGTTGTGAACTATGTCAGGATCAGTATTGTAGCTAGTGACTCTTTTGGAAAGAGGAAGATGTTATTTTGGAAGTTGGCTCTATAATTCTATTGGCTTGTAATCTTGATATGCAAAATGGAGACAGACCTCTGCTACAGCAAAAGACGGCACAGCTGTGGAGCTTCCTCTTTTGCGTCACGTCCCCGTGCATGTGCCATGGTGATTATTTGTCTGTGTGTGCTCATGTGTGAGATTTACTTAAAATGGAGGGGTATGAAAAACAACAGCCTCTATTTAGATAACTTTCAATTTAGAGATCATATACTATATATCAACCTATTTTTTATTCTGCACCATTTGTCTTTGTGGGGTTTTTCGTTTGCACTGTTGAAAAATCACTTGTCATGATAAGAACCACTCCCCTGTTTGCAGCACACTCCTTCAGTCCTGTGCCAGGAATCTTTACAAATCTGTTGTTACCATTGGCTGTGTGACAGCCTTATTTCCTGACCTTCTAGAGTTGCTCTTGTAACGCCACATTGAGCAATTTCACACCAGCTTCACACTGTACCAGTCCTGACTGTTCTGCTGTGAAAAGAGACGCCACAGGGGATTTGTGCAGCACCTTATTATAAACATCTTATTGTTATGTAACCTCTGGAGGTCATAATTTTGACAGGGGCAAAAGGAGGAGGTCTGGTGACCCAGTATACAGAGTGACAAAGTCTGCAGTAGGAGGGGGTTGTTTGGATGGATAGGTCTTCATAACGTTTTTACCATGACAACAAATATTTGGTCATTTTAAGGAATCATTGACTGACTTCCCCCCCGGCCTTAGTCTCATACATAACGTCATGTACAGTATGAAGCATTCAAGTGCTTGTTGAAGGCACTTTACCTTTCTATTGGAAGTGGGTGGGCATATCAGTATACATAAACCAACAAAAATGTACTCAAGTAAAAGTATTGCAGACATTGTTCCACTTAAATATACTTTAAGTATTAACAGTAAAAGTACTTTATAAGTGCAGCCTATTCCCTAATACGATGGTTAAGTATTAGTATGGCTGAGTTTTGATGGAAGTCTCTTCTGAATCCATTTACGGTGTTTCTTCATCTGTGAACGTTTGACAGTACATTTTAAAGGTGTAGTGGAGTAGAAAATACAGATATTTGCTGACATATGTAGTGGAGTAAAATTGAAAAGTAAACTTAATCTACTGAAGTAAAGTAAAGATATGTGTAAAATGTACTTGGTTACATCCCACCACTGTAAGCTAGCTTGATAAAGATGATTCAATCAGCAAACCTGACCAGACTGCTGCTCTTCTCTGCCTCTTCTCATTAAGGAAACATTCTGTTAAAGTATTTCCAAAAGGAGACAACACTAGTAAACCAGACATAATAACCATGTAGTTTTCAAATGAAAAGCACTTTCTTAAGACAACTTATGCATGATTCATTTCATCACTAAATCAGTACTCAGCTGTACAGAATGGGTAGAATTAAACAGATTTTTCAAAGTTCTATTTACATAATAAACATTAAGTTTTTCATAACATCTCAACATTTATTTTTAGATATGAACAGATTTTTTAAAATGAAAAAATATAAAGCGGGTCATTCAGTTTATATCGTATTTATCTTAATAACATTGTCTGGAATCTGTTTTTGTGAATGTATATGTTTTGTTTTTTCAGTGTAGGAGTCTGGACAAGATCAGGTCAAGTTGTTCTAAAGCCAGGGTTATAGAGGACAGACACAGCAGCAGTCTGGACCACAGGTCTCCCCCTCTCTCACTGGGAGAGACGGAAACAACAGTAACAGGATAAAGGTCAGAGGAGAAGGCAGGGAACTGTCATGGTGGTGAACAAAAACTTATTCTGTCTGAGCTGATGATTGTCGCCCAGATGTGTGCAATCAGTCAAACCGAGTACCTTCTAATTCCACAAACGTCTGTCTGTCTCACAGTTAGACTTTCTGTTTGTCTGGCTGCATATGGAACGCATTTTTATCAGCTTCATATTTGCATGTCTATTGTTCATTGCCCAGGAAAGTGCAGTGCCAAGTTTTGTGCGATTTGGACACATGATACTTTCAACATGGGTCCAATTGAAAAATAGCCCACTCGTCAGTTACCAAAGCAACAACAACACCCTCCTGAGTGATCTCATGCCAGTAATCCCAGTCATTGTTTGAATGGGACTTGAGTTGTACAATAGGAACAGTCACATGGGCAGATCAGATTTGACTTCTGTCAGGGTGTTTGTTTAATTGGAGGGGGGAGGCAGGCACAGCAGGCGGTGGTAGGCGACACTGGCAACGAAGTCCTGGCCACAAGAAGGAGTATTATGAACACTAGTAGTTTGCAAGAGTAACTAGAGTAACTAGAGTAACTTGAGTAACTAGCGGTTTGTTCAAAGCAGCTTATACCGACTGAGCTGGTGGAACTGTCTGGCGAGGAATGGCAGGAGTACAGGGTATTTGCATTACAGGGTTGACGAGCAGATGGAAGGTGTGCAGAATGACCAGGTGCCAGGAGTGGAAGGCCACGCCCACAAGACACACACACACACAAACCTTGGCGTCCCTATAATATATTCTATAATCACAACTAAAAACTCGCGGGGGGGGGGGGTGAATGACCATAAACATATGACCACACACCTTTTTTTTTCCTATCATGACAACAACCATATTCCTGAGTACACGCCACAACATTTCTGATGGCCTAAGTGCACATATTTACAAATTCAGAATTTAATCACAGTTTGACGTAAATTCCACAGGATCTTCTGTCTATCTAAAATTTTCTGCTGGGAGTGATTTCACATCAGCGATCAAAGAAAATGGTACATTTAAATGAGGCAGTAGGCTGTTTTATGGAAAGTCTTTTTTTTCCCCCAAAATGTTTTTGCTGCCCAGCATAAGACAAACTGAGCCACAGGGCTCATAGTTGACCTGTAGATGGTTTGATAGCTGATCATATATTTCCATAAGTGTCCCCATTACTCTCATTTATTTTGTGGCCCCGGGCCGCTCTGGTACAGGGAGACCATATAGCCTCAAGTCTCCGTCAGTGTGGCTCCACCGGCAACTGGCGGTGTTATTTCCTGGAAGAAAAACTGTCAGCGCTAATGACAGCAGTGTTCACAAAGAAACAACAAACACAGCCGATTCCTCCAAAGACATTAAAATGCAACTAATCAAATATTATCAAAATATGTTGTTGAGTTAGATGAAAGTGACTTTCACCGAGTGTTTGCTCATTGTGGGAACTGAAGGGGTTCTCTCTATATTATTTAAAGCACCTATTGTAAGAACCTTACTATTTCAAGTGCCTTGTGAAGTAATGACTGCCCTGCTCTGGTGGACAGAGAGGAACGCTGTGGCTGAGTTATTGCACGTTGACAGTTGATCTGAGATTTACTGAATAAATGTAATTCTAACTTGGGAGGTTTCTTTGATTTTACTTTTCAAAAATATTAGAAAACAAAATAAAATAATTATATATATATATTAAATGAAGATGCTATATATATAAATGTTTATTTCATATACATTTTTCTTTGATTCATTTCTTTTTTGCGTTTGTATGTTTATACATTTTTTCTGTCATCTGCATTTTTCTTAAACATACACAAATAAGTACTTGGAATACTTTTGCAATACATATATATACATACATTTTGACATAACCAGACAATAAAGTCTATTAAAAGCTGTTCTGGAGCTTTTGACTGTATAATATTTAGCTGCTGTGGCAACAAAATGAAAACCTTTTCCAATTTTTTGGGCGTAGCAGCACCTAAAAGTGATTTATTGTCAAATATTCTGTTTTTGGATAAAGAAGTTCAAGGTGGGTGATGTTGTGGTTCATGCTCATGAACTCTATGAACCCAGAACACAGATTGGCTCACAACAGCAGAAGATTGATCCTCCATGTAGTTTCACATTTTGTTTTTGTTCCTTCTCCAGCACCAACACCAGCACTGACCAGGTCCAGACCATACCAAGGTGTAAGAGTAAGGGACCCGGTCAAAGAGCTGCTGAGGAGGAAGAGGAGTCTGGAGTCGCACAGCACCAAGACAGCTCCCCCTGCTGCGGTGAGGGCACTGTGACACATGACATAATACAGAGTTCATTAAAAAGTCTATACAGTCATCCACATTTTAAGCCTCAACTCGATTTTGACATGTTATGTTGCTTTTATTAAGTGCTATTTGCCTCAGCCTCACTTTTAGATCAGAAGTACTATACTGATCACACAGTAACAAAACAGGAAACACTGATGTAGACTTTGAAACCCAGCCTGAAATCAAACTCAGGAAGTGTTTCGCATTTAGGAGTGAGTTCATTATTTCTGTTAGCATAACTTTCATCTTTTCTAAATTAGCTAAAGTTGAACAAGTTAATTTTTAACTGTACTTAAATTGATATACTTTGGAGGGAATTCTGTGACTTTTTATTTCCTTCATCTCTTTTTTTTCTTTTTTTACCAACTTTCAGTATTTAAATGATAAATTTCTCTGGCCTGTATGGACTTGTAATAGATCTGCATTTGATTCATAAGAAGGCTTGTAGATTCAAGTGACAATGAATGATGTCTGCATCGTTCCTCATATATTTACACAACACCACCTCCACCTTTTCCAAAGAACCTGAACTGTTAAACCACATTCTCCCTTGTACCTTGATGAGCCATTAAACAAATATGCAGTGGGCAATTTATTGTTACTATTTGAAAACAGAGCAATGCTTCCTCAGGGTCATGTACAGACGGACTAATCTGACACCGCAAATCAATGCTGTGTTTGGAAAGAGCAGAGGATCCAGAAAATACACTACGAATGAGCGTTTGTACTAAGTAAAGGAAAAGTGCAGGATTTACTTTGTCAGGATTCTGTCTGTGAAAGCTTGGTCTTGATTTCTTTCTGGGGTAAAACAGTCTCCATGGCAATCAACATTGTTGGCATTTTCTATTTGACGTGTGGATATTGTCTGAAAAAGCTTCACTTCTAATAACGTTTCCTTGATTGTGATGATTTATCAGCCTCAGTCTCATTCTTCACTCATCTGAACCATCATGACGACAAATTCCCCCGATAATCCTTACGCTCTCTCTCTCTCTCTTTCTGTCTCTGTCTGTCTCACAGACATCAAATGATCTGCACCAGATGCAGGTCGTTGGTTGCAGAGGTGAATTCTGTTGAGTTGCTGTTGCAGATTCGTTCTGTGGGGAATTATTTTAACCAAATGGAACAACATGGCATTGTGAAAAACTGGGGGGGGGGAGAAAAGGGTCTGCGTGGGGAGAGGAGCAGTCAGGACCCCATGATTGTCCCTGAGCGAGGAGGGGGGATTCTAACCTTATATAATCCAGGTGTTTTTCCATGACAGTTACAACCATTACCTGTATGGCTCCAGGGCTGGGCACACAGCCCTATGCAAAATAACTTGCAGCCTTGCCAGAGAGCCCTCCCACATGCTATGTATTACTCCTCCACACCAGCAGAGGAATGACTCGACACGTTCGCACAAACTGTCCACATACACACCCTGCAATGAGAGAGGGGGAGGAAGAAAAACATGAAACCTGACTTGATGCTACGCATGAAATATGTTATGTTCCAATAGAATCCAAAGTGTAATCAATAACACTCACATTTCACTGTGGGAACATTTCTGTGGAGCATGAAGATATCTTTTATACATGGACATCAGCCAAAAGGATCCTTAACTTCCATATATGAGCAGAATCCATTCTCCTGACCTGTGAGTCTGTCTGTCTTTAAATGCCCAGATTTTCAAATGATTCCAGTGGTTGAAATCTTTATTATCTGTAGGATTATTATTGCCATCTTGTGACGAGGTAGAGGATCAAATGAACACCACCCTACAGAAAAAAAGGCTACGGTTTTATATCTGATTACATGTCACTGTGAGTGGCAGAAACTCCAGGAATTAACTGTGCTCAGCCAAGAAAAAACTATAGCTGCAGCACATAACCCTCTGTCGAACTGCAATTTGTTATTTCACTTAAACAAATAATTGATAAAATATAACAACTTAATTGAAGTTGAGCTTTAGAGGTGCCTGCAGACATTTTCATTTCCTGAGCCTGAACATGTTTTTTTTGTGCTGAATCATTCATCATAGGATTGTCACTTTTTGTCTCTGGTGTTTAACAGTTCTATGGCATGGGCCCTCTGTGCTAGGATTTCAGCAGACACCCCTATGTGTTTCAGCAGAGCAGAGGAACTTTGTTGCTAGTGCCTATGTCTGCCGGGGCTGGTTGGCCACTTCATTTCTTGAGAAATTTGTAAAATCGTCAGAAAAAAGCCAAACCCATCCATCATATACTGCTCAGGGCTGCAAGGGACGGGGTCCAATCCCAGGTGACACTGGGTGATCCTGGGTGATCCTGGATCCGGCCTTTTACCCGGATCTGCACCAAAATGTAATTGCTTCTTCCTTGGCTCGTGCTCCACCCTGCCACAAAATGTTATGAAAATCGTTGCTTTAGTTAGTTATAATCCCACAGACAGACAGATAGATAATAGCCAATGAAAACAAAACCCTCTTGGGGAGGTAAAAAAAACTGGCATACACAAATCAACCCAGCACTGTTAGCTTAAGTTATTAAAGGGAGGCTATAAAAATACCTCTTGTGGTTTCATCTGTCCAGGTTTGACATGTGACCCCATTGCTCTGGATAATTCACAAACCTGTCAACAACTCTTCTCCCAAAGAAATATATCAACAGTCTGCAGAATACACACAGTAATGAGGACACTCATTTTTTAAATAAAGATGGCTGATTCTTTCTTTTTTTGTTTTTTTTCTTAATGCCGTGAAGAATACAAGCAGAACTATGAGCATGCTCAGGGAGTGCATACCTCTGCCAAGACTAACATCTTATCTTTCCATGTAAAATACAGAATTTCCTGGAACTCCTTTATCCAAATCTTCTCCGAAGATATTGTTCCGTTGCCCTCCCCTCCAACCAAATTTTGTGGAAATCCATTAATTAGTTTTGCGTAATCCTGCTAAATAACAGAATTCTAATGGCCATGAAAACATAACCTCCCTTGCAGAGATAACTAGTGTCAATTAATGTGGAAAAGCTTCCCCCTTTAAATCAGAGGGTGGGTCTCGTTTTTTCAAATAGCTGAACCTGATGTGAAGGGCAGGGGGCTGACTTAATGTAAAGAAGACCACTGTGCAGCCACAAGACTTTGGTTTGAAATCCTGCTCTTTGCAAATCTGCATTGTTGAAATGCCAACACACCCAGTCAGCACATAACTTATCACAGTGGGTGTCAGGTTTCACATTAATGATCTCCAGATTTATTGATTTTATTTACCAGGACCAAATCTGTCGAAAAGAGCTTTAACTTTTCGTGGATGCCAAAAAATCTGCCTGTGGTGTAATGACTGAGTCTGAGCCTGCTGTCAAAGCTGTAACACTAACCAGCTCCCCTGTACCTCTGCAGCCCTGCAGGCACCTTACAGCACATGCCCCTTGACTGCCTGCAGGCGGCATGATGCGATCTTTCACTGCTCCTCGAGCCAAGCACCGCCCAAACACTGTTACAAGCTGTCAGTACTGTCACTGCTGCCCCTGCCTCCCTCATTACCTCTGACAGTTTTCTCAGTTGCAGTTTCTCTATATTGCACTTAACTGCCACCTGTTTTTCACACTCTTACAGTGAACCTACATTTTTTTCAACCATGCATACGCGTATCTTTCAGAAATAGATGTGGTGGTTCTGCATGATGAACTTCCTGGGGGGCACATTCAGCACAGCGAGGAAACAGAAGAAAGAGAGGGAGTGCAGCACAGAGTCATTGAGCTTGAGGGTAAATTGTGTCTTCTTCGGGATCAACGTGTAAAAGCTGCCAAAATGTCAGACATGGTCAAACAAGCATGTAGAAAAAAATAATTCTTGCTCCGCCCAGTGAATGACATGTAGATGGGAACACAGTTATTATGCAATTAAATAGGTGAATTGTGTTCTTACTGAATTAAACAAGCTGGTGCATTCAGTCAAGATAAATGATTAAAAACAATGGTGGACCGACCGACCAACCAACAAAGAAACAAACCAATCAACTATATTTCATTCATCATTTCAATATGGGATATGATTTTATACTCAAGAACAGTTACTATTAAACCATTTTGCAGTGATATTTCAAAAGCTTTAGAAGAGATACAGACCTCTGTCTGACCTTCTTCTCAACAGACCATAATGCAACTCATCAAAAATTATTTTTTATGGCAAAAAAACTCAACTCAACTGAAGTTCCTCTTGCTACTTTTTTCCTGAGCTTTTAACTACACGATGTGTTCTCCATGAGCACAAGTAAGTAAGACTGCAAGATTATATCTGTCAGGGTTGATGCACAGTCAACATGCATTTTAGATTATTAGCTTTGGTTCCCTCCAGCAGGTTGACACAGACACTTAAAACCTAAATCATGTTCAAAATGCAATAAATACAAACTGCAGCAACGTACAGTGAATCCCATAATCACACCTCAAATAATACACCCAGCCCTGAGCTATATACAGTTCCCCGAATCAGCCCAAACACGCACACACACACACACACACACACACGCACACACGCACACACAGACACAACAGTTGTAATCTCTTCTGCTGCTCACACCTGGACGTGATCGGTACAAGTGTAAATAGCAGATATTTATACATCAACATGGTCCCACTCTGCAGCAGCAACATGTGCTAATTGTTCTACTGCCGTTATTGAAATGCTCGACACACTTTTTTAGAATTTATGTCATATTTTCTTTTTAGGATGAGGTCGCACGCAACAACCTGACATCATACACACAAGGTATTTGACAACATATTTATCTGAACTGATTCCTGCAAGTGAAGCATGTGCATGTTTTTTCAAAGACTCACACTCAGCCTCTGTTTGTAATCCAGTCGCCTTTGGCTCTGACAGCAGCAGTGGCAGCACAGCAGATGGAGGGCAGCAGTGCACGGGAGGGAAACCTTCATTCCTGGCCAGTTGCGCTGGCCTGCAGCCTGCCATAACACCCTGGTCCTCACCTGAGTACAACCAGCAGGAACCCTCAGCTCAGACTCTGGCCTACCCAGCCACCACACTGACCGCAGACTTGTACATGCAGACTCTGTGCCCCAGCTACACCATGCTGACCTACACACACACACCGCTGCTCACTAACTTTGGGGTGAGTAAATTCAATTTTGAAAGTGAGGAACAGCCCCGTCTCCTACAATAGTGTTTGTTTTTAAGTGAGGGTCTGCATCTCTGACGATCTACTGCACAGAGAGGGGGCTGCAGATATGAGTGTGTATGTGAATGGCAAAAACTTATCAAGTAGTAGTTATCGAGACAAGAGACATATACATAAAGAGCTTTTACCATTTAATATAAATCTATGAGTTTTTCTCTTGATTGTTCCCTCACATGAGTAAACGTACAAAAAATACACTACATCAAAATGTTCCAAGCGACAAACAGGACAAGACAAATATTTTCTGTCTTGCAGGAGCTCGTTGGCTGAGAAAAAGAGCTCAGAGGCCCCTGGATTTTTAAATAAATGAATGACCACGTTTTTCAAAAGCAATGATGTAAATGATGCTGTAAAAACAGAGTGAAACATCATGATTGACAGCTGAGACTAACTCACGATTGGTCAAGTGCTTTTTTAAAGGGTGGGACCACAGCTTCATCCTCCAATCGTTACAGCGCAGACTCTAGATCCACATGTGCAGGATGCAGTGTTTGGATCTGGCTTCATTTCTGGAAAGTGGGAGGAAGTGGAGACACGTCGTGCTTGTTTATGTAAAGCCTATGGTTGTCTTGTCTCATGCTCAGTAGAGTCACTCATAACAATGTGTATATATATAAAGTTTTAAGTGTGTTTGCATCTTTGCAAGTTTTATTTCCTTGGTGATCAACAGCAACATTTTTATTCTCATTTGCTGATCTGTCTGTAGACCATACCAGTGGCCCCAGCACCGGCCTCCTTCCCTCAGATGGAGCTCCCAGACTCAGGGTTGACCTACCTCCCCTGGACCCAGCCCCTCACCACCATATCTACTATGCCCAACCCGGGGGTTCAGTTCGCCCCAGTCTCAGCAGCCCTGTCCGGCCCACCTCTGGTGCACATGCCCTTGTCCATGTCTGTGACCACCATGATCCCTCAGCTGGAGGCCCAGGGTGCAGATCCTCAGCTCCAGATCCTTGACCTCGCTCAGCGTTCAGATCTGAACCCTGAACCACAAGACCAGTCTCTGGATGAAGATCTGGGGATTGAGCCGGGATCACCAAACCTACTGGATAAACTTCTAGAGGATCCCAAGGAGGATGGTGAAGTGGAAGAAAAAGACTCATACAGCAATTCACTCTTCATACCCAATGTCTAAAACTATGAGTGTTCATTTTTGTGTGCGAAGAGCTGTATTTGTGCTCTTTGTGTTTTTCCCAGGGTTCTTTTCCGTGTTCTTTTAGAAATATCTTACATACATTTTTATTCACAGGTGTGATTTCTGATCTTAATGATGGATGCAATTTGTTTCAGCATTGCACCGCTAGTGTCATTCTCATTTCAGTTTATTTCAACATTGGTCTTGTTGTTGTAGCTGTGGCCAAAGTAATTTTAAAAAGTCATTGCTGAAATACCAAATGGACAAACTGGGCAAAGCTCCCAGAGCCTCAGGCCCCAAACGCCTCAGCTGTGTGTGAAACTTCATTTCTGGTACTTTGGTTCATTATAGATTCATTTGATTATAGATGCCACCACAGTACAATAAAAAGTGAACATTGATGTCCTGTCTTGTAAAAAAAAAACTATCTTACAATCTAGTCTTAATATCTATTGATTTATATTGAAATTATGTTTTTTTTTCCTCTGGTGCGTCATGTTTGATGTCACCAAAGCTCTGTTTTGCTGAATTAATGCGTTCACCCAGGTGAACAGATAAAAGCCAGATGTTCATGAGTGTTTGTGGGTTTTTTGACCAGTGGAAAAGGGGCTTAATTGACCTGGGATAGGTTCACGTGTGGGCAGTAATACTGGTTGGTTTCCAGTTGGTGATGATGCACGTAGGAGTGAAGTCAACTGATGCCGTCAGTTCTTCCCAAGCAGCTGAGTTTGGCCCTGGCAGAGACTGGGGAACACGGCAACATTGCTACAGTAGGTGTTTTCAGAGGGGATGACCCATTCATAACATTTATTTTCCATTCAGTATGTTTTTGCATAAATGACGTCAACAACTTTCCGAGTTGTTGAAACTTGTGAGGGTAGAATTTCCTGCCAGAAACTTAACACTGGATCATCGCACTTAAAATGTACACATCTCCTTTCCATCTCATTTATTATCAGGAAACCCCGGACATACTTATACATTTATTTCCCGCCCAAGGTGTGTGAAGACCCATTCCTACGCTGTCTCTGATTGACTTACTCTGATATTTTTATCATTACCCTTCCCTAAGGGGCAGGTCTTCAAACAACAGAAATCAAACTATAGAATTCCAACTGTCGGTCAGTTCATTTCTCTTAAGCTTAACTATTGGCCGTGTCAATGCAAACTGGAATATATGTCGCTGTGATCCTCAGTGGACAGTGCCAAGAAGTGGGTAATTTGCATTTCACAGGGAAACTGTGCTAACAATGCCAAGAGGTAGGTCAAAGTTAAACCTAATAGTCGCTCTATCAAGTATGTTGGCAGTTTATGAGCGGCAGTTTGGGTAATGATTGATAGAATAACCTTATTTTCTGGTTAAACCCTAGTTACACTAAATATCAGCATTTATCAGCAGTCATCCGTTTCCAAAACACTTCTCATGATCTAATTTAGTGATTCAACACGTTGAAAGATCAGTTCATTTTTATCTTTCTTTTCCAGAACCAATAGACCCGACGACCAAAAACAACATTTATTAAACCATGTTCATAGTTGCACCTCTTCCATTTATTTACAATTACAGCCAAAATCCATCATATTGATGGGTTTCTATTTTAACTTTTTGCCTTTACCATCCATCTGTCCCATTGTTATCTCACAAGATATCTCAAGAACGCCTTGATAGGATGTTTTTACAGTTTAGTGTTCACTTAGACTTACGGATTGACTGATTAGATTTGGGTGGTGTAAGGTCAAAGGTGAAGTTATCTGTGCCATCACAAAACACATTTTTGAAGTCTCGAACATTTGCCTTCAAAATTGTCAGTTAGAATTAAAAGATGAACAGATTAGATTACAGCGACCAAAGGTCAAAGGTCACAGTGACCTTTTGAAGCTGGAAAACAAACACGTAGACTGAAACTGAACAGGTGGTAGAGTCTTACAACCACAGGGCTCTGAGTTTATTCTTTGTTTTTGCTTTTCTTAAACTTAATTTGATTTATTAACTTAAAGAAGAAGAAGAAGAAGAAGTTGAAATTATGTCAAAGACTCACATTTTCTGGGGACCAGTTAATATAAGTGCTGCCTTCAGAGCCTTGAGGTGTTTGCTTTGGTCAATAAATCTGTCATCATTAATGTCAGTTAACAAGACTGAGCTGATGATTTGCATTGAATCAAAAGAGTTTAAAGCTCCAGTGTGTCAGATTTAGGTGACAGGGATCTATTGGCAGAAATTTAATGTAGAATAATCCTCATGATGTTTTCACTAGTTCATTTCATCTAAATTATATGAATTGTAGTTTTCTTTACATTAGTCCAGACTGGACAAACTAAACACCTTTTCAGTTTTTATGACAACTTAAGGCTACCACAGGTTCTTTTTCACTTTTGGAAGGAGAGGGTGATGTAAATTTAAAGTATATAAATGAACAAGGGCCCATTTTAGGGTAAAGAAAACAACAATTTGTACAATTAAGATGAAACACACTGGTGAAAACATCACTAGGATTATTTTATTGGTAATTTCTGCCAATAAATCCCTTTCACCTAAATCTTGCAACTTCACCACTAGATGCCACTAAATCTTACACACTGAACCTTTAGGACAAACAGAAGGACAAAAATAAAAATAATTAAGTCCTATATTCAGAAAATTCCATTCACACTGGGACATCACAAGGGTGTCAAACCAGGTGGAGACATGGGAATAAACTTAAAACTGCACCAGGATTGATCTTTATTTAAAATGAAATACCTCATATTCTTCAAGTTGTTGTGTAAAACATTGTGCTGCATGTTTTTCATTGCACTGAACATCATATTGTTCAACTGCAGCAACATCTCTCTGCTGTATGTACCTGCTTGGTGCGACTTTAAACTCTGGGAGATGCTTCTGCTTAAATGAACCTTGTTGTTTAAAGCAAACCTCATTATCTCCATTTTAACAGAGAAGAGAGCAGTGGATCTTAGCTGAGGATCTTCACTCAGGTGCTCCTGCTTGCTCATGCCAGTGAAGGTCTCTGGAGATTTCTTCCCCCCAGGTGGGAAACTGACATCTTCAAGTACTCATCTGTCAAATCCCACTCCTGGAACGACCTGAGAATGTATCACAGGAGAGAAAGTATTCTCATACCACACACGTGATGGGGATATATGAAGAAGAAGTTGGGTTTGGTTCAGTTTTTCATGCAGAGCTACAAATTACGAAAACAACTAAACAAATGCTCTGAGTAGCTGTATTCTAAGATAATCTGCGACGGACTGCATGAATTCTAGGACTGCAACCTCCTGAATTCATGGACAGAACGACAAAACAGAAAGTGTGTGAAAAGTGAACAGGAACTGGAAGATGTCTGACAAAGCCACGTGTCCTGAACAACAGAGTCCATTTAAAACTCTCCATCTTGGCCAGGAGGCACTGTGGAAACATGCCTGTGCAGCACCTTAGATAACATGCAGGGACAGGACACTTGGAGCCTTTGCCCCAGGATGCCACAAATCTTGCACCCAAGGAGGTTAAAAATGCACTCTGGAAGGCAACTTTGCCACTTGGGTCTCCCATAAACAGCCAGATACAAACCATTTGTTTTGACATCTTTTGCTTACCATAAATTTTAAACCACCAATATAAATTGAACAAAACGAAACAAATTGCCTTTAAAAATGGAGCAGCTGCCGTTCTGGAGCTGTCGAAACAATCACAGACACAACCTGCTCCTCCTCCTCCTCCTGAGGACGATTGTGTGAGCGACAGCTCCAGAATAGCACCTCAGTCGGTCGCGTGGTGAGACTGTTCAGTTTGCTATTTTCTCCAAGGTTATTTAAAATGCCACAATTAAATATACATCAGCCAGCAGGAGCACTGAGGTAGAATTACTACACGAATTAAAACTGCAGAACCATGGGATTTATTATCAAACACAATACACACAATGTTAAAATCCCATGCTGAGGCCCAGCAGTCTTTACACTGGAAGACTCACTTCTGATCCTGACACAGAAGTTTTTAAAGAACCTCAGTCCACTCGTCAGGTGCACCTCATTGAGGACCGATTGGTTTAATCAGGCTGGAGCTAGAGGAGAGACAAGAGAAAATCAGAGACACAGCTCAGGAAACACATACAGACCTCCTCTCCTCTTGTATTCCTAATGTTGCTATCATCAGGTTTGCTGTAATAATTTAATCAATGATTCGAGTAAAGTTAATTCACACATGCACATTTTGCTGATAAAATAACTAGTTTGCCATCTTAATGTTTGTTTAAGTACAAATCCCTGTGCCAAACAAAGTTACAGTTATTGAAATTATGATAGTGGCCACAAAGTCAACTAACTGGGGTAACTGGAAATCTTCCCACTGTTACATCTTGTTTAAACAAAATCTGAAGACACAGTCAGAGCAGAGAACTGTGTCCGGTTGCAATGAAGATGAAATGTGAGTGAGTCAGAATACAAGTGACTCACTTTGTCAATACCTCAGTGCTAAAGAGCCAAGTTGATTTTGCCTCTTAAGTGGCTCAAGTGGTTTGTTAATATTTTAACTTCTGTGCCATCAGACCACGTCAAACCCCGTTGTGCACTTGATTAACAAGGAGTATATGACCCTTAGAACAACAGAGAGTTAAACTCATCAGAGTTTGACTCCTGTTTGGAGGCATTTGCCCAGAGAGATGTGTGTTAGTAGTCTTTTTTTATATCCTGCTGACTTTAAACTGGATACACACTAATTCATATTACCTCCACTTTCTTTGTCCCTTTGTGTGTGTGTGTGTGTGTGTGTGTGTCAGGTCAGGGCAGGTCAGGGATATAAAGTTGTTTTCACGTTAAGGAGGATTATGGTTAATGTACCGTAAGTCTCCAGGAAATTAACAGTAGTTTGACCTTTTGGGAAATAAAAGCTCAAAGGGATTCTATCTATGAAATCTCCAACATCTGCGACTATCGTGGCTCTCACTGCCCGAACAACAGAATTATCTCGGTTTTTGATCCGTGAAGAAATGCAGCTCTTAGGGGAAGGCACAACATCAACAACAGGAGTGGTACTGGAACCAGCACAGTCATGCCAAGGCCCGTTCTTCTTGCTCAGCTTTCAGCCACACTTCTTCAGCAGCACATGATCAAGATGGTGAATTACAAATAAGCCTGCATGTTTTGTCGTTTTCTCACCTGTTCTTGTGTATGGATATCTTTACAGTTATCTAATGGGAAGGGTAATGCCGGCAGCGCCTCAATGCCAGGAATGTAGTGGTTAAATAAAGAAAGGGTTAACAATTATCTGCCTCTGGTGTTTTTAAATTAAATGTTCATTTGAAAACACCTGGCAGGTAAAACTCTGCCCCGAGAATTTCACTAGTGTCTGTTCAAGCAGCCATCATTTAATTTAATAAAGCATTGCTAATCACCACGTACTTTAGAAAGTGCTACCAGACACCAAACAGAAGACACAAAGGAGTTTTGATTAACTGAACACAGGTTGATTCAAGCTCTTTAGTATCAGGAATAAAGTATTTGATTAAGATGACTATCCTACTTCCCAAACAGAAAACACTATCTCAGGTGTG